AGCCTCGCGCGCTTGGGCGAGCGTATGCCCTCGGATAAACCGACGGGGCCCCCCGCGATGCTGGCCCCTAACGACTGCTCGGCATCCTTGGGTGGCGGCACCGGATTTCGGTGCGCCCCGCACGACACGCGAGCGAACTGTACCGACGGCCCGCCCTGGCTCGCCGAGAGCTTGTACTGGGTATCGGGGCCGCCCCTGCCCCGCGATTACGCGGAGGGGCGGCCACCCCAAACCCGAGCCGCGAGGGCCCTCCGGATGACAGATGTGCCCACGGAACCGCCGGGAAAGCTACATTTGTGGCCTCAACGCCATAAGTGGGTGGAGACCAAGGCGGTGAGTGACTGAGCGGTGTGGCCAGTGGAGTTACTGTACTTCACGGTGGAGAGCGCGGCGCCGGCGCCCTCACAGGAGCCGTTACCCCACCCCTCAATACCGGAATCGGAATTGCCTCGGTGAACCCTGTCACCGCCATGGCTGCCGTCGCAAAAGACTGGCCCATGGCAGTGTTACTCTCGATATCCATGGCCACGAGGGGCTCCCGGAGGGGGAATTATTCTACGACTACCGGGGCGGACGTCTGCGCAAAAGTCCTTACGGTATCTTCCGGGAGCGTGGGGCCAACCGAGCCCCACTCAGACCCTAGACCGTTGAAGATAATTATTACTCGGTGTCACCTTTGGGAATCCCGTCTGCGGAGCAGGTCCGGGGCAGCTACTGCACACCCCGTCCTCCGCAGACGGTGGACAAGCACGTGACTCGGGAATACTGGACTGGCGATCTCCCAGAGATTCCAAGCCCTGTCGGTCCTCGAGACGCGGCTCCGGCGGGGTTTGTATTACCGTCGAGCCGTCGGCCCTGTCCAGCGGGTTGGGGGCAGCTGGCGTTACCGTCGCTGCTCTTAACCGACCCACCGTTCCGACGAGCTACGGGAGTCCCGGCACGGGAATACTCCGGCGCGATCTCAACACGGGAAAGCGAGGCGGTCTCGCCTCAGCTCTCGACCGTGTTGCTGGCGCTCTCGTGGCCGGCACCGTCAGGGTTTTCCCTGTCCTTTGATCCGTTGCCGGTTTGGCACGGATGAGAGAGGGCCGAGCTCGGGAGATACGGAACTGTCGATCAAGGATTCAGAGGGGATGGAATAAGGTTAGTCGCGTCGGAAAGCAGGAGTCTCAATCGCATGGAAATCGCCTACCGGCTAGTATAGCCGAGTGAAGGATCGCCGCGCCGTCCGACTGGGGCGCCGGCGCTTGCCCATTCCAGTGTGGTTCGCGCGGATCGGACGTCAGCTTGAAAGGCGGCAGAGGGTACCGATAAAGAATGTTCGCGCCAAGGATGGCCGTGGCCGGAAGACTTGAAGTTGGAGATACGGAACCCGACCGGTCGACACGACTTTCCAGCACACTGGCGAAGGGGGGTCTGTGGTACAATTGCCAAGTGGCGCTACTGTACTAGGCGGGCGCCAGGGGCCCCGCCGAGTACAGTAGTAAGATGTTAACCGATATGGTGCATACGTGGCCAGCACGTGTAGATGTGGCCACGTGTAGATGTGGCCACGTGGGAGTCCACGTGTAGTTAGTGGCACCAGCTAGTGCAGGTATACACGTGGCGCACGACCGATCGGTGGGTTAGTACAGTATTCACTTTTAGTTACCGTAATCTGCAGTAAGCTAGCTACAGTATGTACAGCTACTGTAGTCCGTCCGGTGCCACCGCCCTACTAGGCGGTATAAGATAGGGGGCACCGGGCTGGAGGTAAACCGAGGCAGGCACGCCTTCCCTTACTTCCTACCCTAGTCCTTTCTCCGTACTGTTAAGTAAGACCTTCAGGTTTCCAGCTCGCCACTGGTTGTACTGCTCTACACCCCAGTACGACTGCGCGTGTCCTGCGTAGTGTACCTCCCTCGCCCAGTGCTTCCTTCCGTTCCGGATTATTCTTACTTGACGCTCCAGTGTAGATGTCCCCCAGGCTCCCTCATTTTTGGTACAGCCCGTCCTTTTCCGTTTACGGTTTAGGCTCCCTACGGTTGTACCACATCTATGTTGGGCGTTAGCCGTATGAAGACCTACCCTCCACACCTGCACACGAATAGGACGGTGGAAAGGTGGAACCGCACGCTGGCGCTGGCTTCATGGCGACCGGGTGACAAAAACTGGGACGAGCATATCGCACTTGCGTATTTTCGTTACAATACAGGAGTCTGTACCGCAACAAGCATGACGCCTTACAAAGCCGTGTTCGGTGTTGACGCATTTGAAGTCTGGGGAGAAGTGGATCGGGCTTGCTTCGACGATGAGCCAGATAGTTTGGCTGAGCGCTTGTCGTTGCTGTATAAGAAGTTGCTGAAAAAGGCGGGAGTGTCACGAAAGAGGGCCAAGGCTCAGTACGACAAAAGGTTAAACCCCGAATTGTATAAAGAAGGGGATCGTGTCCTGTTATGGTCAGTAAAACGCATCAAATATGAAGGCGAGACGGTGGTAAAGCCGTGGATCGGAACATACAAGGTCATCAGAAAGCTCGGTCGAGTCGGCTACGAGTTACAATCCGAGGGCGAGAAGAGGGTGCGCGTGTACGCCAACCGCTTGCGAAAAATACTGAAAGGCGTCGTTGAGACGGGGGACCCGGAGGATGGAATGTTTCCAGATGGTTTAAGTACGTAGAGCGGGATTGCAGGCATGCAGATGCGATGAAACAGAGTGAATGGGCATATAGTGCGCCACGTTAAGGTCAGAATTAGTAGAAGCCGTGCGCCCAGTTGGATCCCAGAGTCGGACCTTGCAACAGCCGTGGTGAAACTCTACGAAAGTCGTGCAAGAACCGAGACGGTGCGAAGAAGCTTCTAAGACACAGGCACGGAGGCCGAGCCAAACCCAGGCTCAGAGCTGGACGGTGAGGAGCATCCATAGCAGGTATCAGTGGGGAAGACCGTACTGTGCACAGCGGTAGTTTGCACAAAACAAATAACCAGTACTTCAGGGTGAGACTACAAGGCACGAGTGTTGCAGTCGCCTCAAGGCAGTTGCAGGAAATTGGGGGAAAGATAATGCAAGCGCTCCCGTACATTAATAATTGTAATGTTGCATTTGAAAAATGCTCTCTTGATTATTACACTTCCTTCGATAGCCAGTCTAGAGGGGACAGAGCGAGGTCACTGGCTGACCTGGATGTCCATTTAGGGCGAGGATAGCTAGCTTTTACCAGAGAAAAGAGGGCATCCCGACAAGTGTGAGTAAACTGTTGTTTCTCTTGGGCTGTGGTCACTGTTGCAGCTGTATGCTGCTGTTTTGTGGCTGTTGCAACTGATCGTCGCTGGAAACAGGGATGTCTGTCCCTGCCGAAAACCGACAAGTGCGCTTACGCCGGGTGTGCGTAACAGTACTATCACCCGTTTTGGTGATAAAAATTATAGAAACCGATTTATGTCCAAAACCGAATATGGTAGCAGCATACGGTTACCTACTGGATCTTTTGCCTGTAGCTGCGACAACGCTACTGTAGCTTCCATAGTAGCCAATCAGAAGCATTACATAATCTCACAATTTGTCTTTGTGTGAAACTTTAAGGACGCCCGTGATACTTTCAGGCGCACTGTATCAGCCTCTCGACAGACACGGGTGCCACTTGTGGGAAAATGTACCCACGCCGCCGACTCGACGTGATGTCGACGCACTACAGAGTGGCACCGGTGACCAATGAAGGAGGACTTTTATAGATCGAGATTTGAATTAATACGATGGCTCTTTCACCGATACCTTTCCCCAAAAATCACGTGCTCCTTTCGAGTTACAACACCGCGCTTTCCACCCGCCATCAATCCGCCCTCGTCCCAAAGCCTCCCCGCCATGAAGCTTCGCGTCCGTTCCAGTATGGGCGCCACCACCGTCTCTGTTGAGCCCACCTCTACGTTCGCACATCTCAAACAAACACTTGGTGCTACTGCACGTACGTTGCTACTTCCCCTGCTCACTAGACCACCTTTCCGCGCCGACACGTTCTGACACTCGCCTCTACTATCCTTGCCTTACGCGCAGTCCGCTCCGGATATCCTCCGCGCCCCATTGACGCGCCAGACGACAAGGTCGTGTCTGCCCTCTTCAGTGATGGCGACGTCGTCGTCGTCGTCTCCGGTACGTCCAATGGCGCCGCCTCCTCGGCGGCCCAATCGACCCCCGCCGCCGCATCGCGCGGCACCATGGTCGTCCGCGTTGTTCCAGACGACAATTCGTGCCTCTTCCATTCTGTCAATGCTCTCTTGATGCGCCCTGATACTGAGGCATCCATCTATGACCTTCGCGCAGAGGTAGCTGCAGTTGTTACAGCGTCACCGAAGCTTTATTCGGAGGCGTTCTTAGGGAGGCCGACCGCCGAGTATAGTTCTTGGATCATGTCTGAAAATTCTTGGGGTGGGGCCATTGATCTTTCCATCTTGTGCACGAGGTACGCTGTGGAGTTGGCTGCGTTTGACGTGAAGACGTTGCGCCTGGATCGATATGGAGAGGGGAATGGGTATGAAAAGGTCGGGTATCTCCTTTATGACGGCATCCATTATAACTACATGGCAATGCCGTCAAGCAACTCTTCGGATATCACCCTCTTTGATCTGACTGATGCCGCGATGTTGAGCAGTGCGAAGTCACTTGCTCAAAAGGAGCATGACGGCAAGAAGTTCACAGACACGGCCACCTTTGCCCTTCGATGCGGGCAATGCAACGCACTTCTCAAGGGCGAAAAGCAGGCCGTTGAACATGCCTCCACGACTGGGCACACTGATTTCCAAGAGAAGTGACCCTTGTGTTTGAGCCTACTTGCTGTCTCCTTTGGCTCCATTGACAGAACCGCATGTGACTACAGCGTAACAACGCCCACCCAGCTTCTTCAAAAGCCTCTGCCTCCGTTTGGACCTTTGAAACCGTGATTACCCGGAGACGCGGCGTCATGCATCCGGCCCCTGAAAGAGAAAAAAAAGAAAACGCTGCGCTCCAACGACGAGGAGCCCCGCGCGCTACAGTTTTTCGACCTCTGCGCACCAATTTTGATGGTCATAATAAGACCGAACTATCCTTGCATGTGCAACTTTTCCAAGCTCTTGCTCCAGTTCACCTTGCCGGTAAACGTGATAAAACCTCTTATGTGTTTCTTCGGGATCCCCTAGTATCTTGTCGCATGTCGCACCCGCTTTTCGTCTTCGCATTTGCCATGGCACAAACACGTCTTGTGCCTCAAAGCGCCGGTTCAGCATCTTCGCGCCCCGGTTGCCCTTTTTCGGTGTCGGTGTGGACGGTCGCTCCAGCGCCCACACATAGGCTAGCAATCGTCCACCTGGCCGAAGGATTCTCATAGTTTCCTGCCAGGCCTCGACCCGCCGCCCCTCAGTTGCGAGATGATGCACGACGGCGATGTTGACGGCAGCATCGAAGATGCCATCTCTGAAAGGCAAGTCCCGTACGTCCGCGGTGCCAGCATCGAACCTCGCGTCAACCCGTGAGCCTTCGAGTTTCTGCTTGGCTGCAATGGCAACAAGAGGAGCGCATCTGTCTGTCCCGACAACAAATGGTGCGTTGGGAGAACGAGCAGCAACCAGCATATATTTTCCGTTTCCACACCCCACATCAGCGACTAGGGCATGATGCGGTAGCGAAGCGAGGAAGGTGTCTACGGCTGGCCAGGGCGCGTATCGCGTGGCTGCGAAGTGCGGTGCTATAGCATCATAGACGTCGTGGACGTGTTGCGATTCGTAGTCACCGGCTTGGGATGCAGACAGAGGGGCGGCTGCCGCTGCCTCCGCCATCGCTTTGATGCGGCAACTAACTCTTTCTGTGAAAGATGATGCTAGTTGTACTTACAACTTGTAGGATTTCTGGGAGACCACGTGATGAGTGACATACATGTGTACGATTCCCGGAAGGCGCTTCGCTGTCGTCTTTGTGAAAACTGGGGCAGGAAAACAAACTGTGTACAGTACAACATATTAAATAAAAAGTGAAATCCCTCAATGAATTATAAAAGAGAATTTTTGTTACATACCCCTTTTATTTTGGAATTTTTGTTACGTACCCCTTTCTTCACCTCACTCTCGAACGACTTTCCGGTAGAGGTACACAGTGTCTGGGGCTTCGCAAGTCGTAGCGTAGTGCCCAACTTGACCACAAGCGGAGCAACGCGACTTTCATTGAGGCGCTGCGACCCCCTGTTTCCGCCGTTTCTTCGGCCGACCTGCCTGACTCGGAACTCTCCACGCGCTCATCTGTCTGGCAATAAGCAGCATCTGCAAATCCACGTTAATGTTTACTTGAGAAGCAAGAGCAGCAGCAGCACCATACTGGCTTTGGAGTGTTGCATGATGAAAAACAGTCGATGCCCACTTTGTGTCCAGATTATTCCAGTGTGCAGCCTCCGGGACGTTCGCATGCCGCTCGCGTAGATTATCAAACACTAACACACGGCTAAGGGCTTGCGCTTACGTTTCCCCGTTATAGCGTCGCAGGAGTAAGTGAGATTGAGTTTTCCCATTTTCCACAAGCCGTTGTTTGCCCTGCGGTCTGGTTGGGCGTTGACAGTGTATGGGCACTCCTGGGAGGGGCACTGTATACGCAGGCGCCCAGAGTCTGAGTGTTTTATCTTGTGAGATCGGCTCACGGTGGCGCACAGGGCTAAGGATGCCATCAAGATGCTGTGCTTGTCAGGGAACGTGCTGCCTTTGATCAAACTCATTCCGACGACGCCCTCTCCACCTCTTCATCACTCTAGCTAGCGGTCCTAAGAAAAGAGGTATGTAACAAAAATTCCAAAATAAGAGGGGTACGTAAGAAAAATTCTCATTATAAAATGAAACCCGTCTTTAATGACTACTGTACAGTAGTACAGCATCACATACAGTATCCTGTTTGCCATCTCTACTGAGAGAACCGCTCGGCTTTGTCGAAATGAAAAGACTTATTTAGAGACGCCTCGGTGTCCTTAGTTCTAAGCCCTTGCCCAGGGTGCTGACATGCAACACCTCGAACCGCCATCTCGACTAAGCAAGACGCATGTGCATCGCTATCGCTGCTCCTGAACACCATGCTCAGCTTCTGTCCCGTTCCGGCTCTTCCTGGTCGTCAGCATGCCCGACCAACCTTCCCCGACGTCAATGCTCAGTCTAGCTGCTCCGTGACGCCTGTGATGCGTGCTCACACAGCTACACCATCAGTGCTTGCACTGGCGGCTTCGGCACTGTTGGCGGCTGGTGCTTGGCATCCAAAAGTACTCCCGCCTGCTATACGTCGCGGCGCATACCCTGCAGCTGGGGTCGCATTTCTGACGGCAGCGCTCCTTCGACCGAGGAGCACAAAAGCACGCGATGAAGGCCTTCTGCGTCCAGTGCGAGCTGTTCAAATCCCACCGGTAGAGAAAAACGAGCGTACGCGGGCAGATGAAGGAAAAGCTGGGCAAAGCGTTTTCAGTGCGAGCCGACGCGAATGGAGTGAACCAGCGTCCACTGATGTGATTGACAAGTCCGCATCTACATCCGACCCCGCTGTTGCCGTTAATATTCCGAATACGAAGTCGACTGTGTACTCTTACAGTTACAAGCGCACTGTGAAAAGAGAAAAGCAAAACCAAGGCGTGAGTGCTAATCAGACTCGAGACGATGACGACCCTGGCCTGGGAGTGGAGGACATGCGGGCAGCTTTTGGCCACATGCGGGGCGAGTTCATAACAACACCAGAAAGTGACAAGGCTGGAAGAGAGCAATTTGCATCTACAAGGACTAGAGCAGACGATTGGGAAGACGCATGGGAGGAGGATTCCGAAGAAGTAGACTATGCACGACGAGGAACCTCACCTGATATCCAATCAGGCACGACTCACGAAACTGAAGAACGTCAGCCAATGCCGATATCGTCTGCAAAGTTGATACAGCAACTAGTCCGCGCGCCGATGTGGGTCCTGTCGGAGGTAGTGTTGCCGGTCGCTGATACTGTGGCATTAGTTTGGTTCGATCTGAAGGTATGGTTGCTGCAAATTCCGGAGCGACACTCACGGCAGGGTAAAGACCGCTACTTCCTTCCTGCACTAAAAAGAAGGAGGAGCTATGCACGAGAAGCAGACGATGACCGTCCCTCACATGAGCTCACAGAAGAGGAGATGCAAATCAAGCAATTGCAAACGATGACGAAGAAGGTCGTAAAGGGGATGGAAGGCACAGTGCGTAACATATTCAAAGATATTCTTTGATACAATCTTGCGATTTTCTGTGGTGGATAATAGTTTGCTGCCGCCACAATGGAATTTATTCACTGCACAAGATTGTTCTTGGCGTCTAGTATTTGGCAGAAAGGCCAAGGGACGGGCTTGACCGCAAATAACGAACTGCATTTTTCAATCGGCTCCACGCAAGGCATGCTTTTTCTTCTCATGTAGATTTTGGCGGCGCTTAATATGACGTCAGATATGCCGCGAAAATCAGTGATTCCGCTTTCAGGGAGGGATTCCATTTGAAAGAACTTAATAATTAGGAGTGCGTTGGATTGAAGAGCATTTACCAGACGCCCGAAGCGATTTTTTTCGTGGCGAGAAAGACTGTCATGGTTTGCTCTGCCATGGTAGGGGTTCAGATAGCTGAATTATAGGGATTTGAGAATCTTCTCATCTGCCCCTTGGCTTTGGCGAGAAGGAATCTTTTCGAAGGGATACGAGTCATTCGGAGACGTCGAAAAGCTATTGCTCGGACCGAATCAAGGCAGGGATACATTCTTGGTTAGACACTATGAAAAGTGAATCGGTTATGATTGAATATGGCAAAGGTGTAGCAGGATCCGTGGCTCTCAAGAATGCATTGGGATGTCAGTTGCGCAGTAGAGTATGCATACCTGAAATCGCATCAACGTGTCTATCGTGAGGCGGAGCTTCGCTCCTTCTTGAATCAACTCAAGCTCCTCATCCGATGAAGCGATTCCATTGCCAGCGGGTGAAGAACAAACGTTGAGAACAGATTTTTCAGTGATGAGTAGCTCGCGCAGTTGTTGAAACTCTCTGTTAATCGCCGAAATTCTTTGCTTTCTCCCTGCACACCGAACACATGTCGTCACTCCGCGGGAGTCGAGAGGAGTGGTTTTGTATGCGGCCGACCCTTCTAAACTTTGCAGCTTTTTGACCCTCTCTTTGTCGGTGAAACCTGTGAAGGTCTTTCCACGAGAAGGTGCAGCACTCATATCAACATTTACGGATAAGATACGAGACCGCACCGTTTAGAGGGATAGCCTGAGGTAAGCCTCAAAAGCGAAGTGAGCCTTCTCGTCGTTTCTGAAGCCTCGTGTCCTCGCCAACTCATGAGGCCGGCAGAAAACGGCCCGCGATGCTTAATTTTAGGAAACTGGCAATTCCGAAAAGTTAGGCCCATCAAAGTCGGATCGGCAAGTGGTCCATGCAAGTGGCCTAACTGAGGGGACTATAACATAAATCTATCTAACGGTTTGGCCGCGAGCAAAGATTCGTCCACTGCTACTGCAGGCTTTGGTTTCTGTTGACCAGGGTCGTAGTTTGGAAAATGAGTCTGTTTGGCAGAGTAACACAAGTCGAATACCCCATGGCAGAAATAGCTTCCGTAGGTGTCTGGGTTAGATTTCGCAGCCAGGAATCAAGGACGGGAAGAGCTCGGAAGCTACAGAGATAGAACCAAGTCGGTCGTTGGCTGCATGTGCGGTGAATTTTAACTAAGTTCTGATCGGAGGACACTGACGGCTCTCAATGTAGTGATTTATTTCGTCTGCAAAATCGCGTAGACCGACATGATTATGTCCTTAGATATACCTCACAGGACAAGTAGTTTTGTACAACTTCACCACTATTTTCTCATCGACTTTACCAGTTGAAGCCACCTATATTTGGCGCCCCTATCCCGCCGAGGAATTTCTCGCTCGGACCCTTTACCGAAGGCGTGAGTACCTTATCGATAAGGCCATACGTTCTAGCCTCTGGTGCCGTGAGGTACATATCTCTCGCCAAATCCTTCTTCAACTCCTCGTGACTTCTCCCTGTGAACTCGTGCAAACCTTCTATGATTCTGTCCCTTTGCTTGAGTATGTTTTGAACCTCAATTTTGATATCTGATGCTTGACCTCGCACTGTGTCTAGCATGGATGGTGCTTGCAACAAGAACCTCGAATTCGGCAAGGCCATGCGCTTTCCCTTAGTCCCAGCTCCAACTAAAAAGGCGCCCATTGAAGCTGCCAACCCGAGGTTGAGAGTGGTGACAGGATACTTCATTGCCCGCATGCAGTCGTAAACGGCAAGGCCAGCTGGCACTGTACCACCCGGACAATTAAAGTACATGGATACGTTGGATTTAGCATCATCGTTTTCCAGGTAAAGCAAAACGGCGATAATCTGATTTGCTGACTCGTCATCCAAGTCTTGACCAACATATATAATTCTCTCTCTGTAGAGGCGATTGAAAATGTCGATGAACTCGTGGTTTTGGGCACCAGGAGCTTTGTATGGCACCTTTGGGACGCCGCCAGCCATGCATACCGGCGCTACTCGAGGTGCAGGAGGTATCCGCCGAGGGGACCTTTGAGCGCTCACTCGACTGGTGTTTCCGGATAAGCTGGACAGCGAGAGGGGCGCGGCAGTCGCAAAGCAAGGTAGCGTTTGGGAAACCATGGCGGCGACTGTAGGAAGTTGGGGTCGCTATTGCCCCCAAGTTTGTGGATGAAGGTATATCTGTCGGATGCACCGAAACCCAATACTTGTTATTGACGTCACCAGAGACGTCTGGTGGGCCGGGATGAGGTTAGCGGTGCAAGATCAGTCTGGGGGGCCTCTTCCCCCTTGGATAGCAGGCGAGATCAGAAAAGAGGGAATGAGACTAATTTTTGGGCAGTTTTCCTGGAGTTATGATTGATAATTCTACACTAAAGTCCTCGACAACCGCTGCGCGTCACCGGGAACAGGAATTGAGCTCTGCCTCTCCTGCACGCTCAAATTGATACAAATCCTAACTCTCCCCGGTGCTCGCGTTTGGCGTTATACCCCTCTACCTCAGATTGACTTGGCGCTCGTCCTCGCTTGGAATAGACTTGAATCTGTCTGGAAACATTTGCCAACAGTCAATGAGCCCTGGCAGCTCCATTCGACACTCATGTGCATAGCGTCAAGATGTCACAACTTGCATTTTCCTCAAACCTCATTGTCTTGCATCCGTCTCGAAGACATCGCTCCAGTGCTTCACTGATGAGCTCCGCAAATTCGCAATTTATCAGAACAAGCAGACCTCTAGCCAAAAGACTTCGGAAAAGACTGATTCTAAGACTACCAACTACGGTTATTGCCTCAGATGAGCAATCCGATCTCTCAGCTGAGACCGAACCAGGCACCGCTAACTCGCAAACTAACGAGACAAACCCTCTTTTTGAATTTCAGAACATTCGCAAGATTTTGACTGCGGTGTCTATGGTTGGCGCAGCCGAAACAAGTTATCTAACATTTAACAAGATCTTCTCGTCGCCAGGGGCAATATGTGCGACTCAGGGCTGTCTCGACGTCTTGTCAGGCCCGTTTTCTTCCTTTTTGGGCATCCCGCTCACGTTGCTTGGAGCATTGGCATACGGCGTATTTGCGTACTTGGCAGTATGGCCTCTCTCGGCAGACGAGGAAGAGGATGAAGAAGGCACGTTGCTCACGCCTGAAGAAGTGTATGGTATAAGAGATGCAGCGACGCGCCCAATACTTCTTGCTCTGTCCACTGCTCTCTTCATCTTCTCGTGTTATCTTATGTTTCTTCTGTTTTTCGTTATTCAGAGCTATTGCCCATACTGCCTGTTTTCTGCAGTTCTGAGCACCTCTTTATTCATGTTGACAGCCTTCGTCGGTCGCGCAGTCCCGCGAGTTGGAGATGCTTTACGGGTCGGGATTGTGTCAACTGGCGTGTCATCGATCGCAGCAGCCTTACTCTTCTTCGTGGGGTACCCTCAACATGTTGCAGCACAGAATCCCGGAGAGCCTCAGGAACCTCCAGCTATCACTATGCGTTCTACGTCAGATACTTTGGTAAGATCTCAAGACTTAATGCTGCTATAGTTTCCCAATTGCTATACACACTATTTTTCTAACGTTCTCCCTCTTGCTATCTGTACCCTCCTCATTCGTTTCTTCAAATGGAAGAGAATTGCGTCCAAGCTCAAAAGCAAGAACGCAAAAATGTATGGGGCATTCTGGTGTAACCATTGCTACGACCAAAAGCAAAGATTTGGAAAGCGCGCTTTCGCCAATATTGAATATATCGAATGCGACAAGCACGGGATGAATTCTCAGTATCAGCTCTGTCGAGACAAGCGAATCCCCGGATATCCCACTTGGGAGCTTAACGGCGAGCTGTTTCCGGGGGAGATCGATCTACCAGAGTTAGAGCAGCTTGTTGATGAGAGAACTAAATAGCAACTCTGAACGAGGCAAATGAGCGATATTTATACATTCAAAAGTGAACAGGAACTTACTGCATGTCAACTCTTTCCGTCTACGTTGCAGCGACTCTAAAATTCATTGTAATTTGCCGGAGCGTCTTTTCAAATCTAAGACAAGTCTTGACAGTCTCATGCGATCCCCTAGCGGCATGCTAGCGCCAAACTCAGACTTAATGTCCGCGTCCGTGAGCGTGAGAAGCGTAGGTCCATCTATTTTCTCCTCGATAAACAACTGTCTATATTCCCCGAGACCTTTGTAGTCGAGCTCATCCACGACATCACTTAAGTTCCACAATGTGACATCGCGCGCTACTGGGGAATAGCGGTCACCAACGCGCAATTTCTCATCAAATTCTTCAAACTCACTCTCTGGGCTCGGCCATTCATCTTCCTCTGTTTCTTCTGTCTCTAGCACGGCTTCCTTTTTCCCAAAGAGAAGCATACGACTTAAAAAGACAGCCCCTCCGGCCATGGCTGCGAGTGGAAACATCACTTTGGCCAGAAAGCCAAATGCCATGATGGGAGTGCCGATGAAGAACAAACCACCAGCTGACAATGCAAACGCCGCTACCCCAAATGCGATGGTAGATGCAAGCACTGTTAGAAAGATTGGGGCCAAGATCAGAGGGATGATGCCGAATGCAAGCATGAGAGAAACGTGAAAAACAACGTTAATGGCGACGCCTACTGCAGCAACCAGACTCAAACCAGCAAGGCCGAACATGAAGCGCTCCGATGGGGTCGCTTCATACCAAAAATCCTTGGCACGGCGAGACGCTTGGAAGAAGATGGAAGGCAGCGGCGAGTTGTGGCGAGGGCGACGCCGTGTGCTGTCTGGTGGTCTGTAATAGTTTTTGCCGCGGTCTGTTCGCATCTGTAGCACCCGCACTCTGTTCTGATGTTTGAGGACTGTTTTGCAGCGTTTGCAATGACTTGAAGTCAAAGAAATGTGAGTCCCCAGAAAGGGCTTCAACACGGCAGTTGAGATGAAGGCCGTGGCATGTATCGCCATTGTGCTTGTCCACACGACCAGCGCTTTGCTCTTTTCGTTTCGTGAGCTTGGATGGGAGGAAGTAGCTACTTGTTCCTTTGTGGCGAAATGTAGAGATATCTGGGCAGTCCAGTTTGTTTTCAAATGAAGTTCGACTTGCAACCATGGAAGGTCCATGCAAGTTTTGTTTGGAGCTCAAAAGCTCAGCATTGTATTTGTGCTAAGATTTTCGCAAATATCAAAATACTGTATTGTACTGTGTTCGGATATCATGCAGTTCTTCGGGAGGCCATTGGGCCTGATCCTCTGGTAGTACTGGTTGCGTACAGTATTACGCACATAAAGGTCATCGAGACGTCATCGCTGCACTCGGATGTCGGCGACAGCACACCATCGGGGTGCAGAAGGTCACTTCGATGAGCAACTTCAAGCTAGGAGGATACTGGTGCGAATTTCATAGCGCTCGAAAGTTCAGGGACAGATTGCGCGCTGAAATTGCGAGTTGGTGTGAAAGCTGGTACGCTCTAAGGATGTTCAAGAGGTTAAGTATGACCAATGCTCTCCAAACTCGGCCAAGCCTCTGCCGTCATGATATCTTCACCCCCGTCGCCTGCTTCAACCTCTAGTGCATCTTGAGAATCCACTCTCAATTCCCCTTCCGGATCACCAGACATTCGTATTTGGCTGCCATCCCCTGCGCTTTGACCACCTGCACCCGAATTCGCGCCATCTTTGCTTACGGATCCATCTACATCTCGCGACTTCGAGAAACTATCCGTACCAAACCCTAGGCTGTCACGGTCCTTTCCACCCTCTTCATGTCGATTAGCGGGTGCTTGCGGACTTTCTTGTGATTCAGACGGAGTAACATGTTCTTTTGTCGCCGAAGCACTTGGTCCAGTACCTGAGTCCATTCCGCTTCCGGCTTCTTGCTCCTTTGTCGCGCTTTCACCTTCCGGCGGTTGTATGCCAGCCACTGCTCCAACTTCGTCAGCTTTCTGCGTGCATTCATTTGCACTGAGGTCTGGGTTCGCTCTCTCTCTTTCAGGCAATTCCTTGCCCTGTTGTTCCCCATCCTCATCAGTACTGTTCTTGCCGGCAGCACCAGCATCCAGTCCTTCGGGCTCATTTCCACCAGCGTCTGCACATGTTGGTTGTGCATTTGAGTCTTCCATTCCCTTCCTGATCTGTTCCGTATTGTCCACCAGATCTCTTAATATTTTCGGTTTTCCGCTAGCTTCGGACACGGCATTCAAGGCCGCCTCTGTGGTCGCTGCTAGCAGCTCAGTCGTAACTGCTGCGCTGTGGTCTCGTTTCACTCCAGACGCGACCGCATGTACTGGCCGCGCAAACGAACCCGTATGCCTCGTTGGAGACTCATTAACTGTAAAATCAAGCATTAGCGCATGAGAAAACGTTTAAGTTAGCGACTTCCGACGCCTTCACGCGACGTGTGTCTCGAGCCGCGCTCACGCGAAAACCCAGATTGCTTTGAAAATTACCTCCATCGTCGACGGAACCTTGAAACATACGTTCCACATTTTGCACATCGTGCACTGATTCATACAGACTGCCCTGGTGGTCTTCGCCTGACGGTCCGCTATGCGAAATCGGAGCAGCAGCTTGCATGGTAGCATCACGCATGTATGCATGCGACATGTTCATGTGCATCTGCGCCATGCCATCATGCGGTGACGATTGCGCGCCAGCGCTTTGCATACCCACGGCATTCATGTGATTCAATGGCGCAGACGTGCGAGCCTTCTTCCGCCCGCGTTTCGATGCAGCGCCCTTTGCCCTTTTAGCGGCAATTTCCCTTCTCTTCGCCTCGCGCCACTGGCGCTGGGCCTCTAACTGTTCGCTCATGCGACGCGCGGCCTCGCTTTGAACACTCTGTCGATCGGCGTTGAGGTCGATAACTCTGCTCGGATCGGAAGATGCGGGCGGATTTCCCGTTTGCCCAGTGATATTGGCGAAAGTCTGTGCAAATTGGGCATCGCCGGGAACGGCTGAAGCTGCGGCATGCGCAGCAGCTGCGCGCGCCGCAACAGCGGCGTCGGGATCGTCGTCTGGATGGCTGTCGTGGAGGGCCATGTGCGTGCGCTTGTCGTTGGCGTTGAGGTGCTGCTGGAGCTGGAAGGCAGCAGCTGCGGTGTGGTCGATAGAAGGGGCCGGAGCAATGTTGGTGTGGTGAAGTTGCGGGTGGGAGTGATGGGGATGGTGGGTGAGGGAGAGGGAGGTTTGGGGGTGGATGGTGATTTGCGCGGATGACTGATTGGCGGGGTGAGCGAGGACAATGCCGGGTTGGATAGTGCTGGGGTGGTTAGAAGGGGAGATGGATGACGGAGAAGCAGAGATAGCTTGACTGGCGTAGAGCGAGGGATGGATGTGGGATGGGGGGAGGTGGGTGTGCAGGGGGGAGACAGACGGGTGCTGGGGAAGAGAGACGAGAGAGTTGCGGCGCTTGTTATACTGTTTTTTGCGGGCTTTGGCTTCCATCTCACGGCGCTTGGCTTGACGCCATTCTTGCTGGGCCCGGCGGATGGTTTCTTGGTCTGGGAGGTGGCGGCGGGGGTTTGGGGGAATGAGAGAGTTAGAGGCGGGACGATGAATTGGATGGATGCGGAAGGGGGATGGGGGGCGTGGCTTACCAGTTGCAAGTGCTTGGTTGTTCATGGTTGGGGGGGAATGGTGGCATGCAGACGGCGTTTCATTCAATGCGCAGTGGGAGGGGAAGTCTGTGGGATGGAGGAGGCCGCTGAGTTTGAGGCAATGCGGGGGGGGGGGGGGGGGGGGGGGCCAAAAAAGGAGGCGGGTCTGGATGGCGGGCGAGGCCTGGCGTAACCGAAGGAGGTAGATGGTGGGAGGGGGTTAGGAGAGGGGGAGGGATATCCGCACTCGAGGGCAGTGGCCTACTCGACAGACCATGACTCTCTCCCGGACTCTCTTTTTCCAACGACTGCAAACGCAAACTCGAGAAATTTTCAAATTTCCCATCTCTCTTTTTTCCTTCTCGCTCCACCCCGCCTTTTCTTTTCAATTCTCTTAATCCGTCCGCATCGTGTCCACGTATACCATCATTACAGGTATCCAACGTGGCCAGCTTTGCCACGAGCTCTCACAGCCACACGTATTCCACGTGGTACTCTTTACACGTATAAGGGCATCTCCACCGCTGCTCTAATAAATCGTGGTTAGTTTTTTGGCCCATTTTGCGTTTAGGGGGGCGATCAGGTTCATTTTGCAAAAAATGCACCTGATCGCCCCCCCAAATGCAACATTATCTCTAGTTTTTTTGAAGGGCAAAAGCGCAAATGAGGGTTCAGGGTGTGTGAGGGGGCAACCCCCTGCAAAAGTGAAATACTGTACAGTATACGCAGTGCGATTTTGAGATACTGGGTGTTTTAAAGGGCGACATTCCTAGAACTTGTGATCCTGGTAGGGTCAAATGGGCCCATGGTGTCCTCCGCGTGTGGTGGAAATTTTCGTTTTCTAGGGCGACAGAAAAAAGGATATTAAGTCACCTCCGACAAACACATACTATCGGTTGTCTACCGGTTGAGGGGGACATACGCACCGTGACATACGGGACAAACGTAAGGCCCTGATTTGTCTGCACTACCGCGGCGACAATTCGGGCAACAAGCTTAACAAAATCGAACACAGTAGGGCAAGGCCCTTATTTGTCTGCACTACTGTGCAGACAAATCAGGACGACAAAGTTTACTCGAGCGTACTATAGAGAACACTACTGACGATGCGACATACCAAAAGTAGTCTTAGCGGTAGTGATTGTTCACATTAATAGTGAAAACGCCCCCGCTGATATTCTGGACGCCAGATAAAAGGCGCATATTACTGTCTTCTTTTTCTGTGCCACCTTCCTGAAAACATTCCTCCACCTCGTCGCCTGCTGCCAAGTTTTCTTGTCCGTCCTGCGCCGCCTGCTCTTCACACCCGACCTCCACCTTCTGACGTTTCGCATTTGAGTCTCCAAAAATTGCGGCTTGTTGCTGCATTCCAAGAGCACCTCGTAGGTTGTGGTAGTTTTTCAATGACGACAGATCACGGTGTCCTGTTCTCATTGCAACATTCACATCGTTCTGGCCGTCCTCGAACAGCAACGTCACCACAGAGCCTCTCAATCCATGCAACGTCATACTTTGCTTGACTCCAGTCCCTGTAATTCCCTCCTTTCTACAGATGCTCCCCATAATACGTGCAAATGCATTCCGGCCTAGGTGCTGGCGCTTGAAAAAGTTTTCAAACGTCGTTGCGCGAGCATTAGCTTCCAAAAAGAATCGGTCGCTTCCGCAATCGAGCGAGTTCCTAATCCGCATGTAGTCTTCGAGATCCTCAAATAAATTGAGCTTGCCGCCGAGACACGTCCTGTTCCAAACGCACACCTCCTGAGGCTTGTCCTGGACAGCCTTCCACTCTCCCGTCGCCGTTTTCGAAGCACCCACGCGGCTGCCAATAACTCCACATATTTTCCACACCTGCTCCCCGCCACTCCCCGCCACAAGTTATTTTCTGCAGTTGTCCAACTGTTAAATGCACCAATGCAGAAGGGCGCATTGCTGTGATCAATGCGACACTAAATACTAGACGTGCTTGAAATCCCAGGGGCGTATCGCGGTCCAGCAGTGGCGACTCATAAAGCTTGATGACGTCTTCTTTCGACAGTACGTTGTGGCTCTCAGCCACAACTCCCGTCGATTGTTGCAAGCTAAACTTGTTGTCTAGCACAGCCATGAGCCCTTCTGCTGGACAATTGAAAACATCCCCTTCGAGAAGCTTTAGATCATAACCCCACTCATATTTGAATGCTCTTTGAAGCCCTAAAATGTAGCCTCTCATAGTAATTGGCTTGACTTCCTCACTGGACTTCGACCGGTAGTTTACAGCGAATTCAATGAGATGGAACCGTACGGTTTTTAGCTGCTGGGTCGTCCAAGCAGTGTGGTGCGCTGGTATGTGGCTGTAGTTGCAGTCAGGAAATACGGCCTTCCGTGTCTCTAGAATTTCCCATTCTGAACGAGACTCGCCCATGAGAATGTGGTCGCGCAGATGCTCTTCCCCTTTGAACGCAGCATCCAAAAATCCGGGACGTGATGTTGTGAAGCGGGCCAGCGCCTTGAGAGAGGATATGTTGGCACGTTTTGTGTTGGCCGGCATACGTTTGCCTAGAAATGCAGTTGCTGCCTTCGAGTGCCGGCGGGAAGCTGATGGGGGCGTGTCAGGAACGGTCGCATGTGATCCACCAGAACCTGGAGGCGGCGTCCCTGGGACAGACGAAGGGGATGAGGGCATGTTGTGGGGCCTGATGATGGTGCGGGAGTTGAAGAGAGAATTGGGAGGGGTAGGGGTATTGAGTGAGGGCTAGGAGAGAAAGGGGAGGGGAAGGAGGGGATGGGAAGGAGTGTTGGGGAATGTCTGAGGCGGGTTTCGGGATGGTCTGAGTAGACGGCACCAGTCGCGGAAATATCATCGGCGACGACGGCGGCGGAGCCCATCGACAGCGACGGCGGCGGAAAACAGCGATTTATCATTGGTGGACTTGTGTCATACATCTACGTGGCCGAGCATTTCACTGTCAGCCGGTAGACAAGCATATTGTCCACTGGCTACGAGTGCAGACACGCAGCCTCGTGCTGCGATATGGTGCCCTCGGCAAGCCTCGGGGCACATATCTGCACTCGGCGCGTGTCTGCACTCGTAGCCAGTGGACAACCCCTATATGTCACCCCATAAAACCGTATAACTATGACTAATTCGGACGCATACAGTTACAACGATATGCGCTGGGGCAGGTCGGTGCAGAACAGGTACTGTGCATGAGCGTGTACCGATTCTCTTTACTCGCCACACAAGAAGCTAGCTACTTAAGTAGCAGCTACGCATCAACAATACGACAATACAATTAAAAGACACGCAACATCGCGTGCATGGAACTTCCGTTCTTGAGCAGACTGACAGGTAGAACCATGCGGGTCTTAAGCAGATGTACGAATATACAAATATTTGTATCTTAACTGGACTTGACCAGATACGAATGTCTGAACATAAAATATGACTTTTCAAACAGCCATAATCATACTCCTCCTGTTTAGCCAAAGTTCTTCTCCGAGTTTTTTGTCTCAGAAACATTTTCGATGTCTATAGACAGTCGTCCAGTATATAGAGGTAACTGAAGAGCTTCACTTAGGGCGCTTTCCGTCTTGGTTAGACGGTCTGCAAGGTTGATCTTTCTGGGTATCCAGGAGATGGTTTCAACAGCACCAGTTTCAAACTCATACCGAATGCAAGCCACATCACCGCGAATTGAAGGGTCGATTGAATTTCTTTGTGTAGACAGGGACGTAAACAGGTCCTTTGAATCTACGCATAGCTGTACCTA